ATCTTGGAAGGAGAGTCCTATGTGAGGCCATCCAGGCCGGAGAGCCCATCCGGCCTGCATAGGAGGGAGAAACAAACACACCAAAGCTATCAATCTAAGCTCCATGCAATTAATGGGGTTCTACTGTGCCCTCATCCTGGCTTGTCTTGGTGTTTGATTTCTTCTCCATCCCAGAAGGTGGGACAAGAAACAATGGTTTAAATTACATGGATTTTGATAAGACTTTGGATTATCGTTCTTATGGCAACAGCAGTTCCCTAGCAGAACAGGCTGTCCTGGGAAGCGGGAGAGGCCTTGTGGGGATCTGAACGTCCATCTCTCAGTGATTCGGGAATGTTGGATTCTCACCCAGGCAGAGGTCATCTCCAAGACCCCTTCCGATCTAGGATCCCACTGTCTTTAGAACTGAGGGCGTCTTCCAATAGCCCCCAATTAGGAAGATCCCCTAAAGTGTTGGCTCTTTCTGCCAACTTGGTGTCATCTGCAACTTTGATGAGTCCCCCTTCTCATCTAAATGGTTTATGAAGATGCTGAAGAATAGTGGGCCTAAGGCAGCATCTTGGGGTACCCCACTGCGTGCTTTTCTGATTCTGAAGCTTACTGGGAACATTCCTCAGAAAGTGACAACACAAACACTGAAGGTTCTCGACCTTGTCTGTTACCTGGAGAATTTTCCAGGGGACTACATCAGTTTTGATGTAGCCGAGCTCCAACTCCTTTGATTCATGAGCAACGTGGCCAGAGGGAGGGTTGAATAACTGGGTTATTTTGCTGAGGGGACCTAGATTTACATCGTAGATATATATAACCGCAAATAATTGGATTATTTTGCTGAGGGGACCCTTTGGTCTCCCACCAAAGAAGACTCAGTGGGCCATCTTTTAGATCTGCCCTGGGCATACAGCCACAAGGGCATCTCTGCTTGGCCCTTTTTTCTTCTCTCCCTGGGGTTGCAGATGGGCTTTCTTTACTGCTGGGTCTCCCTTGGGAAAGGCCTCCCCTCCCCTCATCCCTAGTCCAGATGTCCCTGGCTGTCTTGCTTCCCATGGAGCCTTCAAGACCCAGTTTACCTTCCTTCCTGCAGGAAGGAAAGGCGGGTGAGGTTATCATCATTGCCAGCATCAAAGGTTCCTTCATTATATGAATCTTTCTATGTATTATAATAAATGTTACTTGAGTTTACACGCCGCTTGGCTGAGCATTTTACAAGTGAGTTAAAGCATCTATTATAAATGGCTCTGATGACTTTTGAATTCCATCCGCACGCTGTTAACGGATCACCTAACAAATACATTGCTTCCATGTTCTGTATCTTATCTGTGATTCACCTTCCTTGGTCACCTTTTGATTTCTAGTAGTTTTGAGAGTGCCAACTCTCTGTCTCCCCATCCGTTAATTTAATAATGCAGTCTAGCCTTCTCCCTCCGTCCATAAAATATTTAAATCCAAGAAGCTGACCCAGTGGACTATAACCCCCCATTCCCTCTTGCGATTCAGTTCCTAGTCCTAGAGCTGAGCGCAGCTTGCAGTTTGAGAGGAGCAAGCTTGAAGGTAGCAAAGGAGCCTGGTTGAATTCAGAAATGGGGACCTACAATTAAAAGAGTTTTCAAAATCTGCTGGAGAAGTTCAGCAGCATTGGTGCTGTCTTTCGGCACTCCTGCAAGAGTAGGGGCAAAGAAAGGCTGTTGTTACCCAATGGTGCCACCCCGTGCATAACTCCACCCTTTAAACAATGTCATTGCGCACATATCACATCACAAATGATGCCATTGTTGCAGTGACACAAATTATGCAACTTGACCATCAACAGTACATAGAGAAAACCCACATATACACAGCATTCAAAAAAGCTAAGAAAAAGTCCAGAATACCTCCTTTCCAACATTCAACTACCAGATAAGCAAGGAGTAACACCAGACAAAAAAATCCAGCAGAAAATCACAAAACAATGGCAGGGCAAGTTGCTGTGTATAAACAGGGAGCAAGCCACTCACTAGCACTGATGTTACCTAGTTAGGTTGTGAAATGTCTGCAAGCAAACAGCCAACCTGAGGAGTACCAAGGACTCCACAGTTCACCTCTGAGCTACAGACATTATTTTATTGGGATTATGCATTTTAGCTGCCTTATTCACAGGATGATGTCACAATGTGGAGCCCACATGGCTGCTGAATTCACCATGGCTGCTGAATTTACCACCCGGAGTCATAATGGGTGACTTAGAAATGTGTAAACAGAACCCAGAGCTGCTTCTTAACTAATAAATCTCCCAACAGAATCTCTCACAGAGCAAGTGATGGGACCAAGAGTGAAACAGGAAGCTTTTGGTCCATAGCAATTTTCCAATATTTGAGGGTCTGCCACAAAGAGGAGAGGGTCAGAACTTTTGTAAACTATTGTAAGCTGACACTTCGCAACAGAGAAAGTAAGTTTTTAGACATTTTTATTTTATTTTTAAAGATATTTTTATTAAACAGCTTTTTTTTTTAAAAAAGGCATATTTTTTTTTGCAATTTCCTTCTGTACAACATTTCCACCTCGGTATACATTCATTGTAAATGTTCTTCTCCCCTCTTATTTCAGTTTCTCTTTGTGTATACATATGCTATGATATACAGTCCTTAATTTACAACCCTTCACTCCATTTATACATGTTTGTTCATCTCTACCTATATTTTGTTAATTTCTAACTCCTGTGTCTTCTTCATTTAGTCTTTCCTTAAGCTTCACACCTGTAAAACTTAAGGAAAGCAATATATGCTTTTCTTGTGTGGACTCCTTGATGGGAATAAAGTTCCTGCTTTGAAATGAAACTTTTCCCAGGCATTTATATGGTTTTTCTCCTGTGTGAATCATTTGATGTCTATAGAGTTCCTCTCTTACTGAAACACATTCCAGTCATTTATAGAGTTTCTCTCCAGGATGGATTATTTGATGTTGACAGAGGTTTGCATCCTTAGTAAAGCTCTTCCCACACTGGAGGCATTTTCCTGTTTCAGTTGATTACCGTATTTTTTGGAGTATAAGACGCACCTTTTTCCCTCAAAAAAGAGGCTGAAAATCTGGGTGCGTCTTATACACTGAATACAGCATTTTTAGCCTCCCAAAACTTCATCCCTTCACCAAAATCGCCATGCATAGCTTTTAGAGAGCTCCTGAGGGCTGGGGAAGGCAGAAATGAGCGAAAAACGGCACATTTTTGCCCACCCAACCCCCAGCAGCACTCTGGAAGTCTCCTAAAGGCTATGCACAGCCATTTTGCAAAGGGGGTGGGGTTTCAGGAGGCCAAAAATGCTGTATTCATTGTATAAGACGCACCCAGATTTTCAGCCTCTCTTTTTGAGGGAAAAAGGTGAGTCTTATACTCCAAAAAATACGGTAAG